AGGATGGCCTGTTCTGTTTTATTAGGCGTCATCGTCAGCCAGACCCAAGTGGCGCGTCCCACTCGAGTCAGAGTCAAACGCGCTAAGCATTGAGCCCCGAGCTTGTTGTCTTGCCGGGTTATGTCGAGAGATCTTGACACACCTTGGGGAACGTTCACTTGACCACTAATGAACTCATCTGTCTCGCTGTGCTCGGGGTCTCGGTAGAGACCCTGACAACCGTAGCAGCTGGTATTGTACCGACAATACAAGCGAACATGCGAGTCCCAGGAAGCAATTGAGACGAAGAAGAAAAAGACTCGATCGCTGGGATAATACGTTTAGTCGGCTGACGTTTCGACATCCGTCGCGGATTCATCATCAGAGACATGAGTAGGAAACAGACCCGCTTCTGCTACTGTTTCCTACTCATGTCTCTGATGATGACTCCACGACGGATGTCGAAACGTCAACAATCCAGTCTTCTTCTTCTCAGTATTACCGACATAGACAGAGGAGACTAGGATAGCCTGTTCTGGCTTATTAGCCGTCATCGTCAGCCAGTCGTACTCAGACCTAAGTGGCGTCCCACCCGATCCTCGAACTCGCAACCCCTTTGATCAGAGTCAAACGTGACTCCCTCTCTTCCCATCTTTTCTCTTTATCCATCTCTTTTGTCCTCACCCCTTTTTTTCTCCTCGATGCCGGCTTACCTTCGACGAGCGCTTTCTTTTCACCTCCCTCTGAGCCTGTCAAGATGCCTGCCTCAGATACCTGCGTCTTCTTGCCTGCAGTAATGCCCTCGGGGCAGCGCTTTGGGCTAAAAGGCAGCTATTACGCGTATCCTCCTCCTTCTCTTCCATACTATCTTGCCGGATTTTGAGGCCTTGCCTTCTCTTCCTCTGTCTGCCGGTGTGTGTCGGGAGCTTATAAGTCCACTGGGTCAATTGGTCGGAAGTGCATGCGCGAAGGGCCGGTATTCGACGAGGCGATCAGGCCAATTATCCCACCCCAGTCTTCCACTCGTTTTCACCTAATGCAAGCGTCAGCATCGGCACTGAAATGTCACTGTGGATGTGAATGGCGCATCAGTTCGAGCGTTGTTGTTGTTGATGCAAACATGAGGGGGTCGTTTTAGATGGGCGAAATGGCTCTCGAGGCATTTATGCAGCCAAAAAAACATTCTCGGGGGGAAAAATAATAGTGGCCTTTGGGAAGAATTAGCCTGCGCTTGCGAACCCTGTACCCTCTTTTTCCTATGAGGCAACCCGATTTTACCAGTCATTTGGCGATCGAAAGGTGCTACTTCGTTTGTCGTGTCAATCTGAAGGATAGTCTCCCTCCCGCTTTATTCGTCTCCTTTTCGTTCTCCTGAAAGCATTCGAAAATGCTATTTTGATTTTCTTGCCTCCTCTGACTCTGTATCCAGTAGTAACGCGTACGTCAAACTGCACTGATAACAATGATCAATGTTGTACGGTGTTTAGTTTTACCGTCTGTCTGTGTGTGTCTCGAACTTATAGGTCCACTGGGTCAATTGGTGGTAAATTCATCAGTGAATGGCCGGCATCCGAGGAGGCGATCGGGCCAATTATCTCTTCTCCTCTGTCGCTTTTACCTAAGGCAACTGAAATGTTACTGTGAATGTAAATGGCGCAGTTTGGATGCCAAGGTAGTGTCCACACCTCGGTAGTGTCTGCAGCTCGTCCTCTGTCCGTCAGCAGCAT